TATATATTTGTAATTTTTTGTGTACAATAAAGAATAAAATAAATAAAATAAAAAATAATTTTTGAAATAAGTTTAGGGTAATAGCGTCTTAAAATCGGCCCCATTGTCTATTTATCAATCTTCAGTTTCAGAGGAGATTCCTTCTGCGAACACTCATATTGAGGAATGATTTTGCAGAAGCTTTCCCTGGAGATTACAGAGGTTCTTAAAAAAGGCTTATATCTATATCTATACGTAAGGATTCTTGCTATATCCTTACTCAAAATTCTTCACATACATACACGCATAGTTCTGAAGACTCTTCTATCAGATAGCACACAATCTATACATCTTAGGTTAATCTAATATTCCCCCGTTACCTGCATCCTTCCATATTCACATTACCTTCTTCCATTCCTTTATATTACTGCCTTAAATATGCACAAGTGACTTTAAATATTCCCAAGACATTCCCCTGGGGCGCCAGGAAGTGGAGCACCAATTACGACGTTCAAACACTACCCTTCAGGATGCATACGTAGAAATTCAAATAGGCCGCCCTTAATAAACAGGGACCCACCCTATCTTGACATAGTTAATTTTAGTTAAATAAATGTACTCACTCAATATGCTTAGTTTAATAATATTTATTTAATACTAGTTGCAATTCATGTTTTTTTTTAAACAACTCAGAATGGCTAACAAGCTGACGGCCCACCTGATGGAAAGTGGTAACCGTCGCCTATAGACATGAGCAGTACAATGGACATAACAGAGTATACTGATACCCCCATGCATTTCATTCCTGAGGACTCAGGTGTTATTCCTCTGTACTCTGTAAATTCACGTCATGACGCTCATGCGCGTGTACCACATTTTCAATCCGTCAAATATGATTTACACCAATTTGAGGCAAGTGTAAATAGACACTCTGTGTGCCTGCGAGCCCTATCTTAGACTATAACATCGCTGGACCTTTCAATAATAAAAAATCTTATATTTATAAATATTTCTCGATATTTTATTACTATATCACATTTAAATGACTTTGTAATTTTTAAAATGCAAAACAAATAAATTTAGTACTTTCCTAAAGTAACACATTTCAAAATATAAAAATTCCATGTTACGATGTTCTTTCGTGCTAATCTTCGAAACTGCTCGACAAATTTCAATGAAATATTATAAATGTATATTGTTTGCATCAACTTGAGTTGACTAATTGAATTGAATGCTTACTTGCTAATTTGTTATTCGTTAACAATTAATTGGTCTTGCAACAAAGTCCTCTTGAGAACAAACACGAAAAGCAAGTCAACAGTATATATATATATATATATATATATATATATATATATATATATATATATATATATATATATATATATATATATATATAAACCACAACATGGGGGTCCTGATGGGCGGAAAAGGATTGTTAGCAATGGAGTTTGACAGCCCCATTGCTAGCAATATGCACTATCAGGTCGACCTCCATGTGGTTCCCCCTGGAAACTATCGTGAACAATTCTTGTTGAATTCGCCACGATGGGCTAACTGACGTGTTTTCATCCCTCACTGATGCCCCGCCAGCGTATACCGATAGCACAGGCGGGGTTACCATCTCATTAACACTAATTTAAAAAAAAATTGTATAGTAGAATAAAGTAGGAAATAATAAATGTAAGTATATTTCTTAATTCTGATTCAAGTGCGCAAGAAAAAAAAAGTTGGATTATATTTGCTAAATCGTTTGTAACGAAACACGCTTTTTTTATTTAAATTATATGATATTATTAATCCAGTCTACAACTTCAAATACGTAAGAAATAGGATCCCCTGCGCTTTTTTCCCCATCGAATTTTAGAATGCGGAGCGCCAATTACGGATCTTCTGATTCTTTGCTGCATAAAGTGCCAACGTACCAAATTCCGCCTCGTCTTTTTCCTCTTCGCCGTAGGAAATTAAAATGGAACATTGGAATAATTTCACGAAAATTGACTAGGACCGTTTTATGTCGCTCACGCCCGTTAATATTTTAAGACAGTTCACAGTTTCGTGTCGAAGTTTGGTGTAAAACAAGTTTAATCTCACTAAGTAGAGATAATAAGTTTCTTGATTTGAGTTTGCACTGAAAATGCAAAGTTAATCAATGTGGGCGAGTGTTTGTTTTGAAATCTGAGATTTGAAGTATCTGAGATTAGCGATACGGCCCAGTTTTCGAACGCGCAGATGGAATTTACGAAATTCAATATCTAGCCTATATTACTCGCTGATAATGTAGTCTTCTATAAGTATTTTTAAAATAGGTTAAGTAGTTTTTAAATTTATATTTTACAAATAAACAATAAAATCTCTTCTCTTTATAATGTATGTATATATGAAGAAAACCTAACATAAAATGTTATTAAATGTAACTTTTTTTGTAAAGTTTTTTTTTATACAACTTAGAATGGCAAACAAGCTGACGGCCCACCTGATGGAAAGTGGTAATCGTCGCGTATAGACATGAGCAGTACCATGGACATAACAGAATATACTGTTTTGCCCATAATACCCCCTATGCGTTGCCATTCCTGAGGACTCAGGTGTTATTCCTCTGTACCCAGTAAATTCACGCCATATCCCACTCTTCAAACCGAAACACAGCCATGCAAACACAACTGCTGCACGGTTGAAACACGAATAGGACAGAGGTACCCAAGCAATCGACTTTTGTACAAGTCTCCCTCTGGTGAATTAATTTAGGTATCCGACAACAGGGTCGCCGTGGTTTCTTGCACTGTCATCGGCGCACGGTGTTTCGATTGCTAACTTTATATATGAAGAAAACCTAACTAAAATATAATGAAATATAATATCATTTTTTTTTTTTGTAAAGTTTATACCTGTCACCAATTTTTATACACAAGTTTTTATATTTACTAGCTGACTCCGCAAATTTCGTACCGCCTAAGCACGGACAGTTTATGTTTGACTATTGTTACCATCATATAAATATTGATGTCAATACTAACGTCACTCAAATTGGGATTGTTAGTGATGGAGACTGAGAACCCTATTACTAGCAATATACCCAACCAGGTCGACCTCCTCGCGGTTCTCCCTGGAAACTGTCACGGTTAATTCCTGATGAATTCATCATGACGGGCTAACTGGCCTGTTTTCATTCTCATCTATCACCCTTCACTGGTGCTCCGCCAGCGTATCCCGTTAGCGCAGGCGGGGTTACCATTCCATTTTCACCCATCAAAAAAAAATATCATTCATTGAAAAAAATACTGTAACATCGATATATTATAATGACATATTTAGTACCAGTTTCATTAAAAAAAAAACTTGTCATTTATCATAGCTGTTCTCGTATTATCCTATACAAAAAAACGTCACTCAATTGTTTTGCTCTCCACTAACACTTGAACTTAATGGTATGGTATTAAAGTTAAAATTGGCTTTTAAGTATTGTTACGAATCATTTGTATGGGAGTATAGAACAGTGTAGAATTTTTCAGGTAATTTTTGAAATTTTTCTCTCCGCAATAACCATCCTTGTTCTTCAAGGAATATTCTAAAAAAAAAGGATTAGCGTAATCTGTTCAGCTGTTCTCGAGATTTGCGCTTAGCAACACATTCAGCGATTCATTTGTATATATATTATAATATACTAGAGAAAAAACCACAGTACATTTATTGTAATTCGATCAAAGCATAGGCCATCGATTAAATCGATGGATTCTAAATTAATAACTAATTGGCCCTAATCCTAAAAAAATATTATGTATACTCATAGCAAGACCTTAGTTTAATATGAAAGTAACTACCTCTGCTCAATCTGTTTATTTATTAATTTCTTATTGCATTACATAATATAATTAGTAGATAACATTTCAACTTCAATTATGGACCCTGTTGGGCACAGCGAGTACAAGAGAGGAGGGCAACACTTTTTTTCACTTTAGATCTAGTAGATTTGTTGTCCAATCGTTGTCTTGTACAAAACTAAAATATAGTAAGATAATTCGGCACGAGATGAAGTGCTAATCTCGATGACGTGTCAAGGTATTCAGATACAGTTCATTTATTCATAATTTAGAAAATTACAAGTCGAATTTAATTTAATTATGTCATTGCCATTACAAATTTATCATATTTTATTAGATTATAAATTCGAGAAAATAGCAAATATTATATATATTTATTTATTTTATTTATTTATTCATTTATACAAATATGTATACATGGCGGACTTAATGCTAAAAGCATTCTCTCCCAGTCAACCATAGGGAAGTGTCAGAATACTCGAATGTAGTGCTAGTAATTATTTATATACATACATACTAAAATTACATATATAAACGAATAAATATATATTAATAACAAATATACTTACACTATATTTAAATATTTTATTGTGTTTAAAGTTATATTATTTTATAGCAATAATAATTACGTCACTTCAAGTTGTAATCACATTAATTAATTATTTATATATGTATTTATATGTAGAATATATGTTATAGTAAGCAGTTTAATATATAATATGTATTTGATGGTTTTGTGCATTATAGCTCTTTGTATTTTATGCAGGTATAAAATTATTAATTCACTCTTGCGCCACCTACCCACTTCTATCTGTTCTCCTTTAATCAAAAGTTGTCTGTAAGAGATTGCCATAGCGATAAAATAGAAGCGCCTTTTATAGCTTTAATCGTATGTATATACCTATTTTAATCTGTACTTTATACTACTGTATTTCATTTAAATTGTTTAATTGTCACTGTACATAATTTTTTAAGGTTCTGGTGCAATAAAGAGTTAAATAAGAAATTTCAGAATTAGGTTAGATATCGTTTATATTTTATTAATTCTTTAATACTTTATTTAATATAGAAACCTCTCTCAATATGTAAATAGATGCAGGCGACTCAAGATTTTGAAATGAAATACATGAAAGACCTTTAATAGTTCAGTGAAGGACTTTTAATAGTTTAAAATAACGAAGACGTTTCCTTTGTTCGCAGACAAGTGCTGGACAACGGAACGTTGGTGTTGCTGCCGTTCCCAGCAGCACAGTACCGGCCCGACGTACACGCGACCGTGTACCGCTGCCGCGCCCACAACGCACACGGTGCTATACTCTCGCGTGATATGCGCACGCAAGCGGGTAAGTTGAAAATATCATTTGAAGAATTGTATAATATAGTCCCAATAGCCTCATTTTTGCATGACACTGTGTTCCATCGACGGAAAGTTTATCCTCAAACCCTGGAACCGAAATGGTCAGGCATAGTACAGTTTTAGAATTTAATCTCTCGAACTCTTAAATGGTGGATTGAGCTTTCCAGTAGCAAAGGATTCTCCAAAAAGGTCATAATAAGGTTTCTTAAGTATCAGTTTTCAATAACCCGAATTATTGGTGATCAGCGCCTTACTACCGGACTCGACCCACTGAAACTGCATAGATATGTTGTATCAATGTGCATCTTTTACCGAATTTATCATTGGGTGTTCTGAAGAATTGTTCAGATTGATATCTGCTACTGATTGTCACCACCGTACAACCGGCCTATATATTTAGTTGTGTATTTGCATGGTTGTATTTCGGTTTGAAGAGCGGTATATGGTAATAAAAGTACATGGTCAAGAGGCATAATACGTTACTCCTCAGGAATAAGGGCGACACAGTATACTCTGTTACGTCCATGTAACAGAGTACTGCTGATATTTATAGACAAAGGTTAATATTTTCCATCAGGTGGGCGGTCAGTTTGTTTACCATTTTAAGTTGCATCAAAAAAAAAACAATAAATTAAAAATATAAATAATAATACAGAGAAACTTTAAACAATCCTTTTTATCTGCAAACAAAATGAACAACTCTTGAATAAGAGACACAATAGGTCAACTGTATAATCTTGCCAACCACAAGTAGTGATTAAACGGTCTTGCTGAAGCTACGTGACCTGATAGTAATTAGGTGAGTGCAAAAAGCCACCCCGCCCCCTGGGGATTCCCACTTTTAATCTAACGTAATGGTAATTAGACAAGCAATAGTAGTCGAATGCTGTTGAGCAGAAACTAGCAAATTGTACAGTTAATGAATTGTGTATATCACGGCCTGTACAACAATAATCCGGATTAGGAAACGTGTAATACATTGCTTCTTTAAACAACTTCCAAAAAGGAATAGTTTGATCTGATGGTCAAATCATTTTTTTGTTTTTGTATACACAAACCTATTTGTGATGATTTTGGATGTGATTTTGGATTGAGATCGATGTTGTATTCAAGAGTTATCCTACTGTTTGTTTGTTTGTTTGTTTGTTTGTTTATTGATTGTTATTATAATTTGATTGCTTTTTGTTTGTATATAATTATTATTTTCTTTTGTTTGTTTTGTTTTGATTTCTTTTGTTCTTGTTTTGTGCGCTACTGTGTGGGGCACGCATGCTTCTTCGATTATTATTAAATTATTTCTTTCTTTCTTTCTATTTAATTATTATTTGTTCTCGTATTGGTACTGTCATCATCATATCAGCCTTTAACTGTCCAATGTTAAACATAAGCGTCCCTCTAAGGGAGTTTTGCCAGTAGTTGCCACGCTTGGCAGGCGGATTGGCAACCGCAGTTAGGCTTTGGAGATGTTTTAAGATGTACGCTGCTGCCAACTCGCCCTCCCTTAGTCGCCTCTTACGATTTACATGGGAAAGAAAGGGATGACCTATTCTATGCCGTGACTACACGGGACATGCCGAGACCACACGGAACTGTACTGCATTTTATGACAAAAGAAACTGCTTGTTTAGAATTTAAAACGCAGATTTTTTGTTTAAAACCAATATTTAAAGAAATAAAATTGATTCACTAAGAAATAGAGTAGAGTAAAATTAAACTTACGGATACTAGAGTTTATTTCAGGTACGCGACAGCAAAGACTTGGAACGATTCGGTCCCGCCAATTCGATCAGAAATCGTTTCAACATAACGTTAACGGCTGCTACAGAAATAATTTTCACCATCGTACAACCCGCCATAAACTAAAATTTCATCCCAACCATCTGGACGAGTGGCGGTCCTCCACCGTGCGTTTTTCAAGGCACTTTCTTCCACGCACAACCACTCTTTGGAATCAACTTCCAACAGCAGTATTTCCGAACCGATACGACATCATAACCTTCAAGAAAAGAGCATATTCCTTTTTAAAAGGCCGGCAGCATACCTGCAATGCCGTAGGTGTTGTGGGTGACCATATGCGGCGGTTGTCACTTACCATCAGGTGAGCCGCATGCTCATTTGCCCCCTGTGTTGTAAAAAAAAAATTCCTTGCCTTGTCTTAACTTGACTTTTGGCTGTTTTATAAAGATCCAAATTTTATTATTTTATCAACCTTTATATCTGAACTTAAAAACTAATCTCTTCAAAAATTAAGAATTTATTTCTTGATTTTTTTATTTATTTTAGAATTGTTTGACTGTAAGCTATACTCGTATATTTATCAGCAATTAAATTCGTTCTTAGCTAATTTTGTAGTGAGAAATTCGAAACTATTTCATATATTTTAAATATTATTTGAAACTAATAATTCTAGGTATTGGACCCTTGCTTTGTAACCCTGTCAAGTGCTTGTTCAGAAGTCGACGCGTCTGTTTACCATTTCTATAGTTTCATATTACGCAATTGTATACCGTATCACAAGCGACTAAGTTTTAAAGTCTCAGATAGTTTATTTACTCGATGAGAGCCAAGTTATTCTTCGTTTTACTTTATTTTTAGTTTAACCTTTAAAACGTCCTAAGGGTTAGAACTGCTTGTTATAAAATACCGGGTTAGACATAGTGACAAGTGTCATAAATATGATAATTAAAAAAAAATCAAAAGAAATGATTTTTTTTATTTACTTTTCCTTTATTTATTTACTATCATATCTTTCATGTGTATTTAAATATATGTATATAATAAATAGAATATCATTAGTCATTATCATTTATCATGGGGAGTGTTCTGAGGAATTGTTCGGATTGATACCTGCTGCTGATTTTCACCACCGTACAACCCGCCACAAACTAAAGTTTCATCCCAATCATCTGGACGAGTGGCGGTCTTCCACCGTGCGTTTTTCAAGGCACTTTCTTTCACGCACAACCATTCTTTGGAATCAACTTCCAGCAGCAGTATTTCCGAACCGATACGACAACATAACCTTCAAGAAAAGAGTATATTCCTTTTTAAAAGGCAGTCAGCACACCTGTAATGCCGCTGGTGTTGTGGGTGATCATGGGCGGCGGTAATCACTTACCATCAGGTGAGCCGCATGCTCGTTTGCCCCCTGTGTTGTAAAAAAAATAGTATCCTTTCAAAAGAGAACATATACGAGTAAGTCAAAGAGACAGAATTTTGAGAGGCTTCTCGTAATTAATTTATAAAAAGAAACTTGACAAATTTTGGGACCATACGGGACCTTAATCATGAGCGATTGTGACTCGTAGTTAGGCTCGTACTCGCGTCACAACCGCTCATGTCTAAGGTCCCGAATGGTCCCAAAACTATACAAGCATCCTCGACTAAAATACATGTAAATTGATACGGTCATTGTTTAATTAAAAAATAATGTTTTTTTTTATACCACTGAGGTGGCAAACAAGCATACGACCCACCTGATGGTAAGTGGTTACCGTAACCTATGAACCTGCAATACTAGAGGTATTACGCGCGCGTTGCCGACTCTGAAGAAATCTCTTTATCCCCCTTTTGAAGAACCCCAGGCTGTAATCTCTTGGAAAAACCTCGGCAGGAAGCTCATTTCATTACCTGAGTGTTCGCGGGAGGAAACATTTCTGAAATCTCGCTGTACGCGACCATTTAGACTGTAAGATATGAGGATGAACTCCCTGTCGATGGCGAGCCGTACGATGGTAAAAAGTGGCCGTGGGCATCATATTGAACAATTCCTCTGAGCACAATCCATTGTACACACGCAGAGTGAGGCAAAAGTACAATTTATTTACAAAAAATTAACAATAAAATGTTTTTTTTTTATTTATCAAAGCATACGGTCACTTACTACTTACTTAAGTACTCAAATAAACATAAAAAAGCCCAGACCAAAAAACAAATAGACATACGAATATAAATGTTTGTATTGTAAGGAGATCGAACCTTCAATCATCGAAAAGTGATGCGATGTGTTTGAACATTACACAGCTGAAACCGTTCGAAAAAAATAACATTATAAATAAAATAAAAAGAAAATGTATCTCACTGCTGTTACTAAATATTATTCAATACAATGATTGATTGTTGATCACAATGTAAATGCTTTTATATCACACTCATTTGTTATTCCGATCGAATAGCAACGAATTACTTTTATTAATTGCTAACGATCCAGGCCTGGCTGGAATTTAAACGACATAATTACCCACGGGGCAATTAAAAATCTTTTTGTACCCAGAATCATTATGTCACTTATGTATCTAAATTTTTAAAGATTTATCTCACGTTTAAAGAGTAGATTCTTCAAATTTAACTGATGAAGTCTGAAGACTTCTAAATTATTTATTTATTTCGAATTAGGAACACCAGCAGTATATATATTATACATAAATTAAATAACATTTTTTGTGTATCATGGTGATATGGATACCTATAGCAGGCGTACACAACATTGACGACAGATTACATGCATATAAATATCGTAATATAATTAATATAATAAATTAAATTTATAATTACATATTCTTTATTACAAAATTCAATTAAATATAAAACAAGACTGGGCAATACCATCAAATCTACATGGTCTTCAGTATCTTTACCGCGAAACACTGCCAACGAGTTATGGCTTATTTAAATTAAATTATAATATTGGATATGCCATTCCTTTGAGTGACCAGGACATATTTTATGACCAGGATAAAAAAATCATGTACTTCTTTATATCCAATACTAATGAGGCGAATGTAATGGACACACACAATGCATTTTGTTCATATTTCTTTTTATTATTATTTTTAATAAGGAATTTCGCGACTGACTCTTGGCCACAACAGAATATCAGTTTTGCTCTTTTGAGGGCAAAGCAATAAACTGAGTTGTGACCATTTTGTGTTACTATGGTACACGCATGAAGGAAAAGAAAGAAAGAAAATTGTTGGTTTATATATA